TGTCTATTTGGGAAATATACTAAATAGAAAGTAATAATCATGGATTGTTATTTGTCAATATTCTGTGCTTCAGGATGTTATCTCCTCTGTTGTTGTTGATCACTGTTACCTGACAAACTAACTACATTAGAATACACATGGAGTGTTTTAGCTATGTTCCTGTTTTCTGTTTCATCTCTCAAGGTCTTCACAAACCCAAAAGGAAGTGATCCATTAAAGATGTGGAATTGATTTTCCATTGCAACAATCACAAGTTCTGTAGAATAACAAGACCCACTACATAACAGATCTTCCAGATTTGACCTTTTCATGATGATAGAGGGCCATTTTTGGAGCCATTTTGATTTGCTATACATCAATACAACCTGTATATAAAAATTTCAATAATTTAATTTAATAATTATGTATGTGATACAACTATAGTAATTACATAAAATGCTATATAGTACAAAAAAAGCACAAAATATTTTTAAACACATCTTTCTAGATACAAAAATGTGTTAGTGGTTTACCTTCAAACTGTAAATGAAAAAGTTGCATAAATACTTTCAACCACAGAAAGTTTTGAAAGAAACTAAAGCTATTGGAATGAGCTAGTCAATTACCTGATATATACAAAACTGAATACCTATGGAGGGAACTGAAGATCAGAGAACAAATTAAAGAAACATACCAATCCTCAGGATTTGAAAGCAGTTTGTGTGGAGGAATGGGTGAATCAAAGTTAAAGGAAATTGTCAATTCATCTGATTAGTTTCTCCATACAGAAGACATCTTGAAGTTGTCATTACCAGCTTTTCAAACAAAGTATTTATCACATTTTTGTAAGTGTGTTCAATGCCTATTAACAATCTAATTCGAGTGTTTTATACATAACTTTATTTGTGTAGTAATTTGATTTGATTTCTGTATGCCCGGATTGCTGCAATGGACTGGCGACCTGTCCAGGGTGTACCCCGCCTTTCGACCATAGACCGCTGGAGATAGGCACCAGTTCCCCCTGCGACCCTGTATAGAAAATGGATGGATGGATGGACGGACGGACGGATGGATGGATTGATTGATTTCCAGGGTAATTGCCGACATCTGGTGAGAACTGTGTTTTGATGGTCCCATTAGAAATATTTGAACTGTGAAAAAAGATGTGTTGAATACTTATTTTAGCCACTGTATAGTTTTTCTTTGTGTGATTTGGGGGATAATGTAGTTATTCTTTGTTTTACAGGTGATAACCATTGTTTTAAATACATTCCCTTAAAAACTGTTAGAAATTGGTTGTTAGACCATTTTATTCTTCCTAATTAAATTGGATATATGGCCATTCTAGTTCTTTCATACTAATCCCTAATTTTTTAAAGTCAAGGGTGACTTGAGAAATAAGTCCTTTTATACAATTAAGAAAAAATAGGTAATTACATTTGGAATATAATGATGAATAATAATTTTGAACAAATATCTTAAATTTGGTAGTACTGCATGTAATTTTCAGTATTTTTAAGCACAATTTCAGTGTTCATTGTTAAAAGAAAACGATACACGTTTCTGGAATTACTAGCAAATAGTCTATTTTGGAAATTCAGTACTGTTAGAAGTATATCCTATGAGTACTGTGTTATTGTAAAAGTTCATTGATGTAAGACGGTGCCAGACCAATTCAAGTTTAAAAAATCAAAAGCCAAATCTTGAAAAAGATTGTAAAACAAAATACGGGAGATGTGCTCATGTCATCTTTCCCCAGTTAGCAAGTGTGCAGCAGAATGTTGGACTAGCTGAAGATGTCGGAGAAGGACTGATCCCACCATAGAGGGAGTTGCAGTAGTCCAGTCTAGTGGTAATAAAAGCATGAATGGCAATATTGTGGAAATTCTGAGGATGATAGGGCTTAATTTTGTTAATCAACCTCAAACGATAAAACTAGACTGGACTACTGCACTGACCTGCTTATCATATTTGAGATTAGTTTCAAAATTATCCCCAAGATTTCTGACAGAGTCGCAATCAAAAACGTCAAGAAGACTAATAGCGTTATTACATCCTGTCAGCAGATTAAATTTACCAAAAAGAATAACCTCAGTCTTATTTTCATTTAGACACAGAAAGTTTAGCTTCATCCACCTTTTGACATCCCCTAAACAATCTAGCAGATTCTCAACCAACTGACTACTGTTGGCTCTAAGCAGGAGATAGATCTCTATGTTATCTGCAAAAGAAGTTGAATGGCAGTATAGAATTTTTAAAGATGGACCCCAGAGGAAGCAGATACAAAGATAACTGGTCCTAAAATTGAGCCTTGGGGTACCCCTAACCTAAGAAAACTGACTTAACTGGACAGAAAAGCTTCTGTCAGGCAGATAAGGCCTAAACCATTGCAAAGCTGTGGCCTTGACACCAACAGACCGCTCCAGGCGACATAATAAAATCTCGTGATCTACTGTGTCAAAGGCTACAGACAAGTCAAGAAGAATTAAAACAGCAAGATTACCCGAGTCTTCAGTTAAAAGCAGACGCTGTGTCTGTGGTGTGACATGGTTTAAAATCAGACTGAAATTTCTGATTTATCCCATGTTCCTGTAATTGGAGATAAACCACCTTCTCTAATACTCTAGAAAGGAAGAACAATTTCGATATTGACCTAAAGTTTGACAGAACATTTGGATCCATGTTGCACTTCTTAAGAAGAGGTTGGACCACAGCATACTTAAAGGCAGCTAGGACACAACCTGAAGACAGTGAGGTGTTTATTAAATTAATAATAAGTAGACCCACAGAACTAAAAACCTCCTTCGGCAGTCTAGGAGAAATACTATCACCTAGACAATATAAAGCCCTTAATTTCTGATGGCAGAGATATTGGAAAGTGTAGAAACACCAAATCTGGCAACACAGTATATAAAAGATAAAGGGAAGTTGTCCGAAGTGGGATTCAAACCCATGCCTCTAAAGGCGACTGTAACCAGAACGCCTGTGTTGGACCATTTGTTTGCTGATTGTTGGACTATTTGTACGCTGCTGGAGCCGCTATGCCTTCCAGCGTCATCGGCCATTTTGTACCCCAGAATAGTCTGCTACTACAACTCCCAGCAGCCATTGCGGCTGATAGGAAGAGGGCGTCGCAGCTCTGATGTCACAGTGGACTATATAAGGGCACCGGAGACGCCCACCATTGCTTTTCACGCTGGAACCGGGCCGGTATCTGGTAACTGAAGCAGATCATTCGGCAGAAGAAAATCCCACGTGGACTTTCATTTATTCTCCCCGTTGGCCAACGAGAAGAAGAATTCATGAAAGAAATTCCTGGAATCGGAAGGCCAGAAACTTCACTTTACCGATCGAAGACGTGAATTCAACACGTGACCAAAAAACTCCACGGAGGTTTCAAGGAGACGGAATTGCCATCCTTGTTTTTGTTCCAGTCGACTACTGACGGTCAAATCATGTTTTCCCTTTTCGCCAAAGGAGGCCAGAGGACGAAGATTGACTGCTCTCCTGACGAGTTAATCGCAGACACGCGACAACTCCCCCCTTCTCTGTTCTCTTCCCTGTTCTCCACAGAAGGCTGGACAGGTGTGGTAAGGCGTATTCGTCACTTCCTGTTTTCGCTGTTGCACTAGGTGGATTGTTTGGTGTGTGAAGGCTCTCTTGTTTGATCTGATTTCTCTCTACTGTGCTACCTCTTACTTGTTCTAATACATAAGCACGTTAAAACACATACTTTCTGTTGCTGCTTTTAACGTTTGGGGACTCTCCGTGTTTTACAAGTTTTTTTCTAGTAGTGGTAGGGGGTCGCTAGCTTAGCGTTAGCTTAAACTCCACCATAGCTACCTGTTCTGCTGTTTCTCTCTCTGAGTCTCCTCCTCTGTCCTGCTCTCTCTGTCAGATGTTCAGCTACTCCTCTGCCTCATTTAGTGATAATGGTACGTGACATAAATGTAGCATTTTTGTAGCTTTGGAGGCGAGGTGTCGGAATTGGAGGCCCGGCTCCGCGCTGTTGAAAAACCAGCAGATAGCCATGGCCCCTTAGCCAGCGTGGAGCCACCGAGGGTAGCTCCCCGTAGCAGTCCTTCAGCAGAGCCTGCGCAACCGGGGCCTCAGGTCGGCTGGGTGACGGAACGTAGAAAGCATAGTCCTAGATCCCAGCCCACAGGTCACCACCAACCTGTCTGCGTTCTAACAGATTTTCCCCGCTCAGCGACACACCCGCTGAGAAGCCAACTCTGGTAATTGGCAGCTCCATAGTCAGAAACGTGGCACTAGAGACACCAGCGACCATAGTCAAATGTCTGCCAGGGGCCAGAACGGGCGACATCAAATCCTACCTGAAACTGCTGGCTAAGGATAAGCATAAATACAGTAAGATAGTTATTCACGCTGGCGGTAATGACACCCGGTTATGTCAATCGGAGGTCACCAAAGTTAGTGTTTAGTGTTTTTGGTTCCTTTGCATACAGTACGCACAAACATTGGACAAAAACTTGCAAGACTGTTTGACCAATTAACAGAGTTTCGTGGTCCCTGCAAGTACTGGGAGGATTTCATGTATTACTTGTGTAAGTACAAACACCAGAACCACTGCACTCATCATTCAATTAATACTTCTCCTCCTCAATTGCCTTAACATCTGATGCCAGAGATACTGGAAAGTGCAGAAACACTAAATCTAATCACACAGTATGTCTGGAATGATAAAATGAAGTAGTCCAAAGTGGGAATGGACTCACCCTTCTAAAGCGGACTGCGATCTGAATGCCTGGATAAAGAGAAAAGTGTCATTCATTTTTCAGAGCAAACATCATAATTTGGGATTGTCAAGGTGCTATAGCCTTGGTATAACCATAAGCTTCAGTCAGCATGAATTATTTACCACAAATACCAAGATCCCTGAAATTTCTATGATGGATTTTGCAGGAAGAGCTGGTGACTTTCTTGTCCTCCCTTTAGAGAAGCTGTATGTCTGTAATACAACATTTCCCTTCCTGAAGCCACTTAAACATTGACAACTTTGTCAGGAGAGGGATTCGAACCCTCACCTCCCATGGAGACTGCGACCTTAATGCAATGCCTTAGACAGCTTGGCCATCCTGACATTGCTCAGCTGCTTTCATAGTGCCTTTGCATACAGTATAAACAAACATTGGACAAAAACTTGCAAGACTGTTTGACCGATTAGCAGAGTTGCGTTGTCCCTGCAAGTACTGGGAGGATTTCAAGTCTTACCTATGTAAGTACAAACACCAGAACCACTGCAATAAGCATTCAATTAATTCTCCTCCTCAACTGCCTTACTTTCTGATGCCCAGAGATATTGGACACTGTTAAATACCAACTCTGATCACACAGTACGTACCCCTCGGCCATCCCGACGTTGCTCAGCTGCTTTCATGGTGCCTTTGCATACAGTATGCACAAACATTGGACAAAAACTTACAAGACTGTTTGACCGATTAGCAGAGTTTCGTTGTCCCTGCAATCCCTGGAAGATGTCATGTCTTACCTGTGTAAGTACAAACACCAGAACCACTGCAATAAGAATTCAATTAATCCTCCTCCTCAACTGCCTTAATTTCTGATGCCCAGAGATATTGGACACTGCTAAATACCAACTCTGATCACACAGTATGTACCGCTCGGCCATCCTGATGTTGCTCAGCTGCTTTCATGGTGCCTTTGCATACCGTATGCACAAACAATAGACAGACAAGTGCAAGACTGATTGACAGATTAGCAGAGTTTCGTTGTCCCTGCAATCCCTGGAAGATGTCATGTCTTACCTGTGTAAGTACAAACACCAGAACCACTGCAATAAGCATTCAATTAATCCCCTCCTCAACTGCCTTAATTTCTGATGCCCAGAGATATTGGAAAATGCTAAACACCAACTCTGATCACAGAGTACGTACCCCTCGGCCATGCTGACGTTGCCCAGCTGCTTTCATGGTGCCTTTGAATACAGTATACACAAACATTGGACAAAAACTTGCAAGACTGTTTGACCAATTTTTGACCAGAGTTTCGTTGTCCCTGCAAGCATTTCATGTCTTACCTGTGTAAGTACGAACACCAGAACCACTGCAATCACCATTCAGTTAATACTTTTCTTCCTCAGTTGCCTTAACTTCTGATGCCAGAGATACTGGAAAGTGCAGAAACACTTGGAAGAGCCATTGACTTTTTTGTCCTCCCTTTAGAGACACCCATCCAAACACATTTTAGCTGGATAATGATGTGTTAAAGCATAGTAT